TGTCTCTATCCTCTGTTTGTCAGAGGCTGGGTATGGGTGACAGAGGAGGGATCACTTGATGATTTCCTGTTCTGATCACTCCCTCTGGGGCACCTGGCATTGGCCACTATTGGAAGACAGGACACTGGGCTAGATGGACCTTTGGTCTGACCCAGTATGGCCAGTTCTTATGCACATTTACACAGATCTGGAAGCACCATTTCTAGAAGGGAGTGGTATTCACTGCTGAGTTCCAGCTGATTCTTGGTCTTGCTGGTGAGACTACCCTCCAATCAGTGCAATGTTCGTTTCAGTACCCACCCGTAAGTGGACTGTTATGACGTGTGTAGAATGTATCCGGTGGCGAACACTGTCCCGCTAAGAGAAAATTTCCTTTGATTTAAGTAGGTGAATTTCCCAGGGATAATTAAACACGATCAGACATAAACAATGGACACCGTAGACAAAATATACCCAGTTCTTCAGCAGCACAGGTTTAAATAGTCTCACTTCACTGCAGTGTCAGCCCACAGGGTAGTTTGAATGTCGTTCCTTACCCAACGTCAATGCACACTCAAACGTCTAGCTCCGGTTAAATGGGGCTTTCAACTTAAACTAGTTCACTTAAGACACTGGCTGAAACATAAGCGCTGCTGACTGTACAGCTAGTAACGTGGTGGGACCTCATCTGCTCTGTGTTGCTAATATAAACGCTGTGCAGCTGGAGCGTTTTGCAGTCTGACTGCTCCCATGTGAGCTAGGTTGACCCAAGAGAGTTCACTCAAATGTACGTAAACCAGGGTGTGCACATTAGTGAAGACAAGCTCTCAGTGCACCTCTTATCTCCCGGGTGTAAAACCCTGAGCTATTTAGTATAAAAACTCCCCGTGACGTGTCCTCTTCCATTCCGCTGCGCACTTCACCCGATAAGGAAGGGGAGTAACTCAAACACTTTGAAGTTCAAATGCAACTCAGAGAAGTCTCTCAGATGCTAACACAAAAGGTCCCCAAAGTTCTTCACCTCACAAAACTGGATGGAAATCTCTACCACAGGGTCTCTCTCAACACTCCTGCAACTCAGTGCTAGCCAAGTGCAGTGAGCCCTCAAATATGTGAGCGCAGTTGGGGTTCCAGCTCACGTCCACTGACGTCCGTGGACTCTCGTAAACTACAGTGGGAGGTGGATGTGGCCATTAGAGAACCAGTTACCGTAAAGAAACAAAAGTACAGAAGCCAGTGAGATCGATGACAGCTGATGCAAGACATTTATTGCCAGGAACCTGAGCATCTAATACCATATCTTGACTTAGATTTTATTTTTTTAGATTTTTTTGTCTCTCAAACAAACTGAAATTTCCACCTTTTACATACCCTTTTGCCTGTGGGAATTGCAGTAAAACAGTCTTTGTGTTAATTTTAATACAGTGTTATGTCTTCATCTACAGGAAATAAAACCCCACACATATCCTTAGTTATCTACACATTTTAGACCACTTCCAAGCATACTTTTTAAGCTCTAGGAAAATACTTTGAAAATAAATGTAGACTTTCATTTTTTAAAAATAGAGAACCCTAATAGGATTTTCAATTCCTTTTTCACTGATATTCTTTGTTTAAACTGCCAAAGAAAATGTAAACAGATGTTATTTACTTTTGGTTAATCAACAGAAATGTAAGTATTTCTTTGTTACAGCCACTTGAAATGCAACTTTATTTCATCAGCGAAGTCATTACTAAGCAAAATTCAGGTCAAGAGAAAAATTAATAACTCCACATTCCATTGCATATCGTGACAGACCTGTATCTCTATTTTGTTTCTGCTTAAAGATGACAAGGGGCTAAATTCTTTTCCCAGTTACATCTGTGTAAGTTTATCTTCAGTGGAGTTACTCTGGATTTACATCATAGTCACTGAGTTCAGAATATGCCCCAATAAAATAGAAATATTTCAGTTCAGGAATCTTTCCTCCCCTTTTATGTCTTTTACTTTCTAATGTACAGTAGTGCAATATTTCTCATAACCAAAGAACTAATTTATAGCCATTGTATAGCTTAATTATAAAATATACAGTGTAAACCAATGAAGTTGTTATTGAGAAAAAATCATAGTAGCATAAAAGAGGTTTTGTTTCTTTCACCTCCTGTAGTCACAGAGTATGTCTACACAACAGTGTTATTTCGGAATAACTGATGTTATTTTGAAATAACAAAATGCGCGTCTATGCAGCCAGCCGCTATTTCAAAATACTGTCAAGCTGGAGGACTTCTCACTCCAATTCTTATAACACTCATCTGACGAGGAGTAAGGGAAGTCGAAGGAAGAGTGTTCTCCCCTCGACTTCCTGTTGTGCAGACAGCGCCAAAAGCTGAATTAAGCTATTTTGACTTCAGCTACACAACTACCGTAGCTGAAGTTGCGTAGCTTAATTTGACTTTTGCCCTGCTGTGTGGACATACCTTGAGAAATGTTCAAAATTCAAAAAAGTAGTGCACGTTATTGTACAAAATATACCTTTTAACTATTGAAATGAAAAAGAACATTAAATTACCAAATTAATTTTAGCCATCAATATAGTCAAGGAGCAGCTCTTTAAATAAGAATTGTACTGTTTTGTGAAAGCACCTTTTTAATGTTTTTAACTTAGGCAGTGCTCTGAAGAACTCTGGATCAAGTTTCTCATCTTATCAAGCTAGATAACGGCAAGACTGAAAATATTGACGTGATGTTCTAAGAGAAACTCACTTGATTCTCTTCAAGATGATTAGCAAACAAACTGTCTCTTGGCAGTCTGGTAACATCCTGATTGTTCTGAATCACCCAAATAAAAAATATTGTTTTCGCTAACAACATTACCGGGCAACTCAGCTTACGTACATTTTTGGTTTTGTTTTTCTCGTATCTTCTGTCACGTTGACAATGTCAGACGCATAGGGCTAATTCCTGGTCCTATTGGGCATGTCTACACTGCAATTAAAAACTAGTGGCTGGCCCAGGACAGTGGATATGGGGTCATGCTAAAGGGCTGCTTAACAGCAGTTTAGATTTGCAGGATCTGGCTGGAACCCATGTCTTTAACTCTATAAGGTGGGAGGATCCCAAAGCTCAGGCTGGGAGAGCACACCAAAACATTTACTTCACACTTAAATAGCCCTTTAGCTTGAGTCCTGAGTCATCTGACACAGGCCAGTGACGGGTTTCTAATTGCAGCGTAGACAGACCCATGATGAACAACGGCAAACGCTAACCGATTTCCAGTGGGACCAGAACCTAACTCTAAGAACACAGTCTAGTCAAGGGGCCGAGTACCACTATGTAACATCAGTTTGAAGCTAGTGGGAGCTGAAGGTGCTCAGCACCTTGCTGAATCATTCCCTTACTGGATTAATCATCAGTCATGCATCCGAGATCTCTGTGCCAAACCTCTAGGGATGCAGACATGCCTATGAGAAAGGTGACACGTACAATGTCGTTAGCCCTAGTTGGTTATTGTATAGTGCTACACTGTGCACGGGTCGTGCATTCAAAGAGCATAATACATTAAAACCCCATAACAAACTTGAGGCACAAACCCTCTACATTTCTGTCAGCTGCGTTCTTTAAACAGTTATGTTATCGAAAAGGGGGTTTCATTGTATTAGTGCTCCTGCAATTTGGATATGGGTCATTGGTAAATTTTCATTAGCAGATTAGGGACCTACTCACAAATACATTGATGGTAAATGTACAGAAGACATAATTAACCATTCTACTCACATAGTAATTATTCATTCATAAAATAATTTATTTGTGGTTCTATGCTTGTTTTTAATCTGGATTTCAGGTGTTGTATTAACCTGTCAATTCCTTTAATCAATGACCTTTTAGGGGTAGATAATGCAAACCTCTATCATAATTTAGATGCTTTATAGAGCTACTGCTGAATAAAGAATGCAGAAACATAAAACCTTCCTCCCTTTGGGCAATCATTTGAAAGATTAACAATAAGTAGTTGATGAACAATGATAGTTTTTTTTTAAAAGAGTGGATCATAGTTGGACTCTAAAGGGCGAGATGACTCTGAGCTGAAGTCAATAGGAGTTTGGACATTGACTTCAAACGGGGTCAGAGTTTCACCCAAAATGCGTCAGCAGTTTCTTAAGTCAGGTGTGTTGCCAAATGAGTGTGGTAAGTTTCACTCCATGGAAAAATGTTAAAATAATTTAAACAAACAGACTGTGCATTCTGAAAGATTTAGGAACCCATTTTTGATAGAGCTAAATTGTTTAATCCGCCCTTCGTAACAATAAAGCAGTGCAAATTATTTCTCTGCTGGTCTGGCATGCACAGTGACAGGAGATACGCTTAAATGAAGCCACCGCCCTTCTCTTGCTTGCTGGAAGGCGCGGCCAAGCTTAGATACCTTAAACGTCTCCCCCACCCCACCCCGTGTGACTTAGCAGTCTTAGAGCTGAAGTAATTTTTTCAAATGCTTGAACAAAAATGTGCTTATTTATATTTTTTGTTACAAGAAGGAGAGGCAGGCCACCCGGAGGCTCCTGAACCTGCCTCTCGTCACTTCTCTATGGAATGATATGCTTTCACCGGGATCAATCCTAAACTGACTGACAGAAGTGTTCCCTTTAAGACTGCAAAAGCTCTACATATCACTTTCCTTCAGGTATTTGTCTTTAGATGCTTCTCTAAAATTCTCACCACCAGTTTCACCTGCCCTAGAATGTTTCTGTGTGTTTGCTGTTTGTGGGGTTTTTTTCAATTTGATTTGAAAACTCCTGCTTGTCTCTGCTCAGCTCTGGGAAGGGTCCTCCGGGCTGATGTGCAGCATAACGGGCTCGCCAACAGTTCCATAGCTGAGGGTTCTTGTGGAAACTTCGGTTTTAAAGCTGGACTGTCCGTTGTCTGCCGAGAGCTGGACCTCGGTACAGAAAGATGGTTTTAGTGTGAAAGCGGGGGCAGGCCAGGTTGCTGCCACTGCTGCGTGCGTACCAGCTGCTGCAGGTGCAGCGGTGCATGACTCACTCACGTGGAACGAAATGTTTGATGGCCCCACGGACTGCACCCCTGTTACTCTAGAGGCTGACACAAACATTCCTTCAGGAAGAAATTCCTGGAACTTGCTGAAAAAGCTTGGCCTTGGATCAGGAACAACAGGCCTTCCGAGATTTAGCAACACCGGCTTCCCCACCGTGGGTTCATTAATTTCTGTCTGGAGCACAGAGATCTCACAAGGTTTATCACCTGTGTAGTTCTGATCTTCACATCCATAGGTCTCCCCTTCTTCAGGAATGTAATCTTCCAGGTCTTCCAGGGTTAGCACTTTTCCATTGCGGGTTAGGATTTTGGGGTCACGGCGCCCAGTGTCATCCGACTCTGGTTGCCCTGCCTCATCAGTTATAACAACATCATCTTCCTCTGGAAGATCCTCATCTTGTACTATATCAGGCATGCCTTCTTCAACAGTCCAAGATGTATCTAACTCGCCAGCTTCTTCCTCAACCTCTTGGCTCCTTTGCGATGGATGACAGTCATGCTTGTCTACCTCAGCGGCCTCCAAACTAAAGACAAACGGTTCACCCACACATGCCAGCAGTGGGGAAGTAGCTTCCGAAACATCATCATTGCTCGCATCCTGTGTGCAGCATTTTCCATCAATCCCATAACCAACGAACGCACTACTTCCTAAGTGTTCCGACCCACACGAAGAGCTTATGTCTTCACTGTTCACTGGAGCTCCTTCTTGGTCAGCTTCATATGCAAGGGTTGGAGTGTCAACGTCTGAAAGATTGTCTCTAGGCAGGGAGGATTCAGCCTGCTCCACTAATTTATTGTTGGAGTTGTTTGTGTTTGGGTCCTCTTCAGAGGAACGCCTTGGCCTTGGGCCAGGCATAGTGAATATTAGTCCTCCTGAGTCATCTTTTTCTGGCTTTGCAGGGGAAGCTCCTCTTTTTTTGGTGGGCTTGGGTGACCTTTTCACCTTGAATTCAATGATTTCCTCCACTTCGACCCATTTGGGTTTTTGTTCTTCCACCTTGGTTTCTACCACAATGGCTCTAGCTCAGAGGAACGCCTTGGCCTTGGGCCAGGCATAGTGAATATTAGTCCTCCTGAGTCATCTTTTTCTGGCTTTGCAGGGGAAGCTCCTCTTTTTTTGGTGGGCTTGGGTGACCTTTTCACCTTGAATTCAATGATTTCCTCCACTTCGACCCATTTGGGTTTTTGTTCTTCCACCTTGGTTTCTACCACAATGGCTCTAGCTGTGCTCGTGCCTGTGTACAGGCTGCCTGACCGTTGTCACATACGCCGGCTCTGGCATCAGCAGCTCTGATCTTGCAGAGCGGGGGAGGGAGTAACCCGAAGGAGGCCGGGCAGGGGACACCTTTCGCTTTTGCCTTGGGGTCTTCACCACAGTAGTGATTGTTTCCTCTCTGATGACAAAAATGGTTGAAATGGAGTTTGCACGAAGGCAAAATCTTTCTGGGATCCCCCACTCCCTGAGCACATGCCCGTTGTAGACAAAGCCACCCAGGTGGGGTTAGTGGTGTGAGCATTCCGATTGGTGCGCAGTTTCAGTTTTGTGAAGGACACACACACACGCACACTCAATTCACTTTGAGAACCAGGTTTTCTGTCCAGGGGGCTCTGCCCTGTCCCATCCAAATGGTTTCCAAACCCATTTACTCGTGGAGTGCACAGAAACATAGTGAGCATGTCCGGCTAAGGAGCTCTCTTTCAGATGCCTGCTATGAGTCATGCCATTCTCATTGACTGGCTTAGAACAGCCCCAGGGCTACTTTGCAGTCCCATGGCAGATCCACCCAAAGATCCCACAAGGAGTTCAGCTCTGTCTCCCTGATCCAGTCTCCTGGGGTGAAATCCTGGAGTTAGTGAAGTCAATGACACAAGTCCCATTGACTTCAAGAGGGTCAAACATTCACCTTTACAAACATATTTTCTCTTTTTGTTGCTTACAGTGAATGGCCACAAAGGAAGGGTGTGTTTACTTGCCAGTCAACATCACGGGCCACAGACCTGCATTTTCATACACACACAAGCCATGCTAGAAGCTCATTTAGCATGCAGGGGGAAGTTAAGAAAGCAAAGGTAGTGAACATATTTCCTGAAGAAGCTATTCATGCCAAGACATTAGTATTCCCTCTTGCTGTAAATGTGCTGTGTGCGTGCATGTATGTGTGTGTGCGTGCCCGCATGTGTTTGTGTGTAATCTCTTTATTCTTACAGTAAAAATGATGGGCTAGCATGCAGCACTGAACAGGATCCTGCCCTCAGGGGGAGTTTTATCTAATAAGCACAGGATCCAGCCCCTAATGCATGTACATTATTTCTCAGAACAACTCTATTGGCTTTGCAGTAGGTCTGGGGAGGTGCCCAGAACAATAGGGACTTCTGCACATTGAGATTTCTATTATCTACATTTGGACACATACCCACTGATGTCAATGGGAACTCCATGCACCTATCCCAGGACAGAATTTGACTTTAAACTCGTTGCAGGACACATTGGGTTAAAAACTAATAATTTTGGTCTTAGGCCAGGTCTACACTAGACCTGGCAGCTTGGCTTAAGGTACACAATGCCAGCTAGGTAGACTATGTAGAATACGTAGTTGGAGTCGGCTTACCATTGGCTTCCCTTACTCCTTGAAAAAGCAGGAGTACCGGACGCCAGTGAGGCACCCTCTGAGTTCTATTTAGCAAGTCTGAACTAGACTCTCTAAATCGAACTCTGGAAGATGGATTGTGGCAGTGACAATCTTCTGTGAAGACAAGGACTCTTCAAACCCAGGGAGTTGTGCTATTTGAAATGTGCATTTTTATGTGCGGCTCTCTGTACGGCTTTTCCAAGGTTACGGCTACAGGAGAAAGTGTGGTGAAAAGGACATATTCCGTGGGATACTGATGCTACAGAGCAGACTTAGCTGGTCCAAGGAAAACAGGAGAGGGCAAGCCAAGTTTGCTTTTCATTGAGATACAGCCTTGAGCATCAAGCAGCAGAGCCAGAGGCAGAAAGGGAAGTAAGTGCAAGACCAATAAGGAGGCCAGACCAGGCGGGAGTGAATAAGAATTCACATGTTCAGCCTCACTCCCCAGCTCCAAATGGAAATCCTATAGGCCCACCAATATAGAACTGCCCTCCACAGAACACCCCTTGCATGAGAAACCCTCTGACCTTCCCCATAGGCTATTCTGAGCCGGGAGATGGGTTCACTAAGAGAATTTCTTCTGCTCTTGTTGGGCCAGGATGGGGACTTAAAGATAAAGAGATCTGATCTATTTCTCTCTTTTAGCATCACCCTGTCATGGTGTAATTCTAGCACCTCTTCCCATGAGAACATGCCCAACCCAGCACCACTTCTCTCGTAGGCCTGATCTGCACTACATCAGAAGGTCGAAGTAAGATACGCAACTCCAGCTATGAGTTGATGTATCTTACACTGCCTTTCCATGTTGCACACACAGCGGGAGGCTAACGGGAGCAAAAGCTTCTGTCAACTTCCCTTCCTCTTCATGAGGAGCAGGAGTACTAATGCCAATGGGGGCACCCTCTGAGTTTGATTTAGTGGGTCTATACTAGACCCACTAAATCGAACCCCGGAAGATTGACCACGACAGCATCGATCTTCCCCATAGTGTAGACATGCCCTTATTGAGTCTGTATTTCACTGCAGTCTCAGCCTCTTCTGCTGAGAACATGCCTGTCCCTGTACATGACACCTCTCCCACTGAGATGGTCTCACCCATGACACCTCCTGCCACTGAAGGTTTCCTCCAAGCCTGCGCACCCATCTCATCCTGCCTACAACCACTTCTCATGCTAGGTTTCCTGCTCCATGCCAGGGGTCACCAGCCTCCATTGCTGGAAAGTCTTTAAGGTCTACACTATGTGTGCATAACTCCCATCAATGCCAATTAAAGTTACTTGTGCAAATCACTGGCAAATGAGTTGAGAATTACCCTTTATCTATTTGCATTAGACGTGGGGTTGAGCCAGAGTGGCCAAGTTAAAAACCACATAGGAGTACCCTCAAAGTTTGGGGGTTTGCACAGCCAGGATTCTGGTTCGGTTCTATCTTGAATGTATGCATTAACTGGCTCCATGCTGGTAAAGTTTGAACCTTGCTATCTTTATATGTACACACTTAAAGCCTGGCTCATTTCCCATTGAAGACTTTAGTGAGAGTTGGCTCAGGTCCCCAGTGGCTTAAATCAGGACTCTCTGCAGCATTTTGTAATCAGTTTCCTGAATGGAATTTTGCGCTGGTTGAATAATATTTAATCAAGCATATTACTACTGAAGAGGATGAGAAGACATTTAAAAAGGAGAGAACTAGATTAAGATTTTTGAGATCACCAGAAGACTGAGGGGAAATCCAAAAGGAAACGCATTGTCCTTCTGTCTGCTGATTTACTGCAGCAAAGGCTCACGAAGAGAAAAGCTTTACATGTTCAACTGATGCAAAGCCTGACCCCCGAACAACTTGGGCTACTTCTGAATCTGTTACCTAACACTGTTTCTTGCTGACTCTTTAGCTAACCCATTGGTATCTGACAGACAGCACATGACAATTTGGTATGGATGGTAATGCCAAGAACTGGGCTCTTTGCAGAAGTAAAACTTTTTCATCGCTGCCCAACGAGAGCAAGGAAACTACCATGGAGGTCAAAAGAAAACAGATAGCCCTGGTCTACACTAAGGAGTTATTTCAAAATATCCCCCCCTTATTTTAGAATAATAAATGGAGCGTCCACATTGCCAAACTCGTTATTTCAAAATAGCGGGTTGGTTATTTTGGAATCTGGACTCCTGCTTTCCTTGGGGAATAAAACTTATTTTAAAATAGTTATTTCAAAATAGCATTGTGTGGACTCTCCACTACCGCCATTTTGAAATAACTGCTCCTCAGAGTCATTTGAACTCATTACTCCCCAGTCCTTCCTGGGGCTCTAAGTCAAGGTAGTGTCTGCACAGTAACGGAGCCTGCCTCAGACTCATTTCGAGGTTTCCCCGTGGTGGAGACACACTATTTTGATTTTATTATTTCGGGAGTTATTATTTTGAATGTAGTTATTTCGAAATAATTTCCTAGTGTAGACACACCCTGAAAGGCTGCACCTCGTCCCCATCCTATTGGCTAGTCAATTGGAAAACTCTGAGGTGCACAGATTTGTTGTCTTACTCGTCTACATGGAGTCAGCGGCACCCCACTGTGCTATGGAAATGAAGAGGAGATTGTAAGACGATATAATAATAAAACAAGTGGAAGGCGGCATTCAGCTCTAGTTCATATGTGTACTTCAGCTGCTCCTCATCTTGTAACTACGATACACGGAAGTCACCCATTTGTATCAGCTAATACTGTCCAAGCCATGAACTTGTCATGTTTCATGTTACTGAGCCAGATTTCACTTCTGAAAACTCATGTGCAACTTCCATGGACATCAGTGGGATCCGTGATGATGTATCTGAAGGAAGAATTAGGCCCAAACTGAGCTTAAATGCTCGTGTAACGCTGACAGGTGGAACCAAACCTGGTCGCTCCAGAGCTTGGTGCATGAACCTCTACAGCTTGAGTTAGAAGCCGGCTGGCTCTCAGCTAAGGCTGTAGAGCAAATTCATTCTCTCTCTGTAAGTGGTCCCAGTGCCGCTCCATGGGACAGTGCACCCCACCCAGTAGGTGTGTGGGTTACACTAGTGCTCCTGCTTTTTGAGAGGGATATTCAGGTTGTTACATTTCATTACACAAAATGCCGAGAAATCAGATGGGATGGGAATGAACACACTTGCATGGCCAATACACGCAGGCTTGTTACTGGATCATGCAAAGGCAGCAAGTCAAAACATGACTGTTAAAAACAAAAAGCACTTACATGATGATGGTTTTCTTGGGCACTTTAGTCTCTTGTTCAGTGACTACAAAGAAAACAGTATGAACAGCAGGGGGTTAAAGAAAGGCAAAAGCTGAAATGATTAAATTCACTTTGTTAAGTTAATCAAGAGAAACGTGAGTGAAAAAACACGCGTCATCCCATCCAGAATTTCTGTGGTTACCTCCCGGGTTGTCCTTCGTGTCTCTGCTCAGGACAGGGGATTCTCAGTGTTACCTATGCAATGAGCGGTGTTGAGCTGATGTGGATTCTTATGGAGACAGTCTTACAAAATACAAAGGACTGCTTGATAGCCTGGCTTTTGCCTTTGGAAGATCAAAAGTTCTGCAAGCTACTGTGTGAGAG